CCCCACCGTGCCTCCCCTCCCCTTCCCCCCTAATAATTTCTCATAAGATTTCATTGAAATAATTTTCAAAGGGGTAAGATTCAAACGATTAAGACGAGAAAGGTTTTCGAGTAAACAAATTTTAACGAGAAAAAAAAATGGTGGGTAATTGGGGGGGGGGGGTATTTAAATTTTTCAAAGGTACAAAAAACCGTAAGGTAAACAATTTTATATAATTTTTTTTTGTATTTTCCCCCCATCCGTTTTTTATTTTTTCTCCAGAGAATTTTTTTAGCGTTTAATTTCTTTGACTTTTTTTTTCTTTTTCTTTTTAACTTTATTTTCTCTATCTAAAAAAAAAAAAAAAAAACTTTCTTCCCTGGAATTTTTTTTCTTTTCTTTTTCTTTTAAAAACCGGCTGGAGCCAAAAAAAAAAAAAAAAAAAAACCTTCTCCGTGTAAGAAAAGAAAAACAGGTTTAACAATAAATTTATGACTTCTTTTTGTTTCTTGATATTTCTTTTAATGGTTTTCACCCACGTTATGTGAAAAGGTTTCCAGTTTTCCAGTTTTCTTTTTAATAAATTACAAAAGTCCGACACGAAACACTCTTTTTTTTTTCTCCAAAATAAAAATGTGCAATATTTTAGTTCTGATGGAACGAATATACAAAAAAAAAAATCTGTCGAGTCGATTCAGTCACGATTATAAAAAAAAAAAAAATTTTCTTCTTCCACGTAACGATGACTATTACTACCATTGTCCAAAAAAAATTTTTTTTTTTTTCCTTTTTCCCTTAAAGTGAGAGAATCGTTCGTGCGTGAATTTTTCGCTGGAATTTTTTCTTAAACTGGCGGCGAGGGAAAGGTGGCGGGAGGGGGAAGGAGGGGAAAGGGGCAAAAAGGGTAAAAAGGAATCAGATGGTTAAGAAAATGGATGGTATCAATTTATTTTTACGATTTTAAATTAAACGTTGAAATTGAAATTTGATAAAAAAAAAAGGTTTAGTTGTAACCAGGTGATGTTTTTTCCTTTTCCCCTCAACTTTTCCTTCTTTCTTCCATGCAAAAAAAAAAAAATTGTGATCGTTTTGCATTCATGTTAAGCTTCCAAGTAAAAGTTTTCCTGTTGTTAATATTTGTGGTGGTTCGGTGGCAACCTTCCCCCCCTTCTTTTTTTTCTCCCACGAAAGTTTATTATTGGTGGCGGTGGTAATGGTGGTAGTGGTGATACTGGTGGTGGTGGTATGGTGATACTGGTGGTGGTGGTAGTGGTAGTAGTGGTGATAACGGTGGTGGTGATGATGAAATGAATTCATTTAAGAAACGTGACGATTAATAATTTAGACTTTAAATAATTATTTAAATGATTTACGACGGGGGGGGAGCTCCCCCAAAAATTTTTAGGTATGAATAATAATTATCGTGCGGTTTTATAAATTTTTTATTTATTTATTTATTTATTTTTTTAATAATAAGCGGCGGCGGCGTTTTCGCCTGATAAATTATCGTAGGAATAAACAAAAAAATTGCTGTCGGCTTTAGAGAGAGAGAGAAAAAAAAAACCGTACAATTTTCTTTTTTTTTTTTTTTTTAAAACCAATATCGGTTATTTTTACGCTGCGTTTTATTATTATTATTATTATTATTATTATTATTATTATTATTATTATTATTATTATTATTATTATTATCCACCATTAAACACGACAAGGCTACTTGTCGGAGTTTTTAAGTATTTATCCGAGGTTTCTACCCGATTCCTTAGGGACAAATACTCGAATTTCGGTGGTGCCACTTATTATAAGATAGCACCACATCAATTCTTGAAGGTCTTCCTGAGTCCGTCTTTTTCGATGGGAACGTTTTGTCTCCTGAACTGGGCTCCGGTGACTAACATCTTTGGAGTGGCCAGGTCAGAAGCAGTGAAATTCACGTTCTCGTCGAGCTGCCTCAGGTCGACAGTAGAACAAGATTTGTTTTTTGGTTCTTACTTTGTCTTGTTCTCATTTTTTTTTGCTCTTTTAAGCCAACAGCACGTGGCGTTCTCAGACGGTCACCCATCCAAGTTTGCACCACGCCCGATGCTGCTTAACTTCGGTGATCGTACGGGAACCGGTGTGACCAGCACGCTATGGCCGTTGGCTTTATTATTATTATTATTATTATTATTATTATTATTATTATTATTATTATTATTATTATTATTATTATTATTATTATTATTATTATTATTATTATTATTATTATTATTATTATTATTATTATTATTATTATTATTATTATTATTATTATTATTATTATTATTATTATTATTATTATTATTATTATTATTATTATTATTATTATTATTATTATTATTATTATTATTATTATTATTATTATTATTATTATTATTATTATTATTATTATTATTATTATTATTATTATTATTATTATTATTATTATTATTATTATTATTATTATTATTATTATTATTATTATTATTATTATTATTATTATTATTATTATTATTATTATTATTATTATTATTATTATTATTATTATTATTATTATTATTATTATTATTATTATTATTATTATTATTATTATTATTATTATTATTATTATTATTATTATTATTATTATTATTATTATTATTATTATTATTATTATTATTATTATTATTATTATTATTATTATTATTATTATTATTATTATTATTATTATTATTATTATTATTATTATTATTATTATTATTATTATTA